CCCCCCCCCACATGCTGCTTGTTAGTTTTGGACTTTGTCCTGTTCTGAGCTCACTGTAGGCCTGTGAGGTGCTGTGGCAAGGTGCCGTCCTTCCCGCAGCCAGAGGAAAGGTGCGGGGCTCCCCGGAGGCCTCTTGGTTCAGTGCAGTTGGGGTTATGCAAGTGCTCCTAAACCCTCTTTACTACAGGGAAGTAATTAAAATCTGTGGGGAAAAAAAAACCACCCGCAACTGAGTCACAGCATTGCTTGCCTACGGCTTTTCATCAGGAACAGAGTTAAAGGGTTTGCAGTTGCAAAAAAACCCACATACACACACACTCAGACACACAGGGACCCGTATATTTACATGTTGTTTTGGTCACTGCTTTCTTAATAGACAGGATTTACATTCTTAACCCAGCAGCTTTTCTTGCCCTTTGTTTTCCAAGCTGCGACGACTTGGGCATCACGTAATGGGGCATCATGTAACCACCTGACTCCAGGCACTGGGACTTAGCTAGTGGGGAGATTCTTGATGAATTTACCTAGTGTGGGCACGGTTGTCCTGTGGCAGTATGAACCTTTGCCTAATGGCCTCTGGTTGCCCAAAACCCCCAGAATTTAGGGAACTATGCAAGAGCGGTATCAAACAGTATTTCTTTGATAACCTCTTCCAGTGTGCAGCAAGGTGTGGGTGTGGGATTTCCCGAGTGACATACTGCCCTTGGGTGCTTGCAGGGGCATTATTTTCTTCCCTGAACAGGTCAGTTTAATTTCTGGGTAACCCTGAGCTGCCAGCTCCCACACCACTGCCTGGCTGTTCAAGCACGGTGAGTGCAAGGTGCACACTGCCTGTACACGCCACTTGGTCTCTCAGACCTCCCGCTGACATCAGCAGTAACCCCCTCTTGTCACCTGTGTTTGGGGTGAGGGAGCTCAGCCAACGCAGTCACTTTGTTGGCTCTGCCATATCTTTGGTCTCCTCCGCCTTCCCTGCGTGTTTGCTAAGGCAGCAGAGGCATTTAACTAGGGCTTATTTTCTAGGCAACTCTCACCTACCTCTTCCCTCCACTCCACCCCCCATCTACACTCAGCTTCCCTGTTTCCCCCAACTTGTTTTTACATAATGCAGCTTTGCGGGGATGAAGCCCTGCCTCCACTTCCCCAGCCAAGCAAACCGCCCAAAAGTCTGGAGTGCCTGTGAGCTGCAGAAAACGCTGTGCCCAAGTTTGCAGTCCAGTTAGAAAAGCACAGTGCTTGCATTATGCTAATCCCCTGGCTTTGGCTAACGAAGGGCCTCCACCGGCCAGGCAGGATCAATCGCGGCACGGAGAATGACATCATTTGGAAACGGGGCTGCTGCGCAAGGCTGCCAGTGATTGTGCAGCATCCTTCCCCGCTCGCAGGCGGAGGCCGCTCCATCTCAGCGTGCGCAGGCGCTGCTTTAGAAATCTGAATAGTTTCAGTTGCCACAGAAGTTGTAACTCAAGGGAGTGCAGGATGAGGAGACAAGTGTGACCCCCACACCCAGGGCAGGCTGCAATAATGATATCATGCCATAAATCCTGCGATTTGTTCGTTAAGCTCTGTCACCTAGAGATTCATTTCCTCTTAACGCATGCATTGTTTTTACTTGACCTAATTTGCCTTTTACAAATGCCAGTACCAAGAAAGCATAACTAGTGTGACACGGCATGCAGGCTCACCCACGTGCTGCTTGTGATCTGCGCAAGGAGGTGCGGAGAAATAAAATGCCAGCTGACTGTGCTTTGTGAAACCTTCCAGCTCAGTCAGTAATGCTGAAACACTGTCAGGCGCCCTGCGCTCTGAAACCAGCACACGACTCTCAGCATCGCCATTCTGCCAGTTCTTCCCTTATGGACGCGGTTCTAATAAACAGCAGCTAAGCACAGACATCTCCCTGGCATCCCGACAGGCAGCCTTGCTGGAGGAAATTTTTTCCCCCCCTGCAAGCTGCCAAGGTGGACTCCTTAGCTCCTGCGATAGACTGAATGAGACTGCAGTTCCCCCATCAGTTTCATAATACTCAGAAAGCATCCATTTACATCATTGTGTGCAGTGCAGGGCAGCAGCTGCCAGGAAATTTGAAACTATTTTGATTCCAGTTGACTAGAACAGCAGCAATTGAATTAGCTGGTATCGCTATAGATAAACTGATGATCTGTGCATTTTATTTCTCTGACCAATGGGTAACTGCTGGAGCTACAGTAACCTCTGTGAGTAAGGAGACTGTTCAAGCAAATATATCTAATTTCTTGAGCTGGCTTATATATATATATATATATATATATAAAAACTGTATAGAAAGAGACACTCACACCATTCTTTTGTAAAATGTACCTGTAAACAAAATGTCTGTCTATGCTTGTAACTTGTGTTTTGCTTCCTAGAATTTCCTTTTATTATGCTGTAGAAAAGCTTGCTTAACATGGAATGGTTATTTACCTATGAAATATCATATCTATGCCTGATTTAAGTCATGAATTCTTTCAATGTCTAGTCATCAGAAAAGCTGCCAACTGCTGTTAGGTTATATTTGCCCGGTCTCAGCTTTCTAGCCACTCACCCCCTTTCTATTTTAGCTTTTTCTCTCTCCATTTAATTTTTTTTTTCCTTTGTTGAAAGAAGCCACCTTCAATGCAAAGTAGAAATTGGTGTTACCTGAGAGTGTGTGTCCTTTCTTTGTTAGTTTGGTGATGGGTATTTTTTTTCCCTGCTCATCTTCAGTGCGGTCCTTAAATTTTGTTGTTGCCTTTCTAGCCTTGTTTGTAATGCGGTCATATTGGGGGATGGGGTTGGACAGGATATGCCAGTAGCTGCAGCAAGACATGATGCTATGGTGGTGGATGGGAATAAGGGAGGAGTTTCCCTTAAAGAGCTCAGGCTCCTCTAAGCTTTGGTAGGTGAAGTAGCTCTCTGAGCAAAGGGAAAGGCTTTGCACCTTCCAGGAGCCTGGGGCGATCGGTGGTGGTTTACTGCAAGGAGTGGTGACCTCGGCAGTCATGTGCATGGTGGTACCTAATGTAGTGGGGACAGACTGCTGCTTTGGTGCCATATGTGAATTTTTTTTAATCAGGCAGTAAATTAGGCAATGTTTCCACAGGATGCCATGAAGGCGAGAATCCTGCTGGCTTGGGCTCGAATACAGCAGCAGCAGCAGTCCTTCCAGAGCAGGGCTGCTGGTGCTTCACTGGAGACAAAGGCTTAAATTTCTCTCATTAAAGACCTCCTCTCTTGCCCAGGTGAAACATGGCTTGCAGGCGTGGCAGAGAGGAGTACCTGTGTGCACACTCTCTCCTTCTGCACATCTCTCTGTGCCTGTATATGCGTGTATGTGGTCTGTATGTGTACCTCTTCTGGAGTCTGCTGGGCTTGCCAGAGGGTAAAGTTTGCTTGAGCCGAAGTTCAGGAGGAGAAGTAAATCAGAGACTTGCTGGGGATTGCTTACCGCCGTCAGCAGGGGCTGTCAGCAGCAGATGGGGACACACAGCAGTGCATTTAGCATTCACTGCCCAAAAGAAGGACGCCCCTGTTTCCCTCATGTCAGTTCAGAAGCTAAGATAGCAATTAGCAGAGATGAGCCCGGCTCCTTGGCTGGGTCTGTGTGCGGTGCCTTGTTGGGGCTTGGCCTCCAGTGCAGGGTGACTGTGTGCCAGCCCTGTGGGGGGCCGGGGGGCGAGCTCTGGGCTTCCTTCCAGCGCAGCGGGATACCTGGGCGGACGGAGGTGTGGGGGACCCACCTCTCGGTGCAGAATGTGGTGCCTTCCTTCGGGATGTGGCTAGACCCTGTGACCCAGGTGCTGGCACGGCCAGGCGCTTCCACGTGGTGCTGGGGGCAGGAGGTGATCCCGACTAGGGCAGCTCCCGCTTGCAGGTCTGCAAGTGGAGAGTTGCTGATCCATCGAGAAGGGTTTATGTTTGCATTGATAGTGACAGGCTCCCTGTCCACAGTTCTTCTCTCTTAAAAATTCCCATCTCTGGACACGTGCTGAGAGGGCAGCTAGCACTAATGCCACTGCATTAGAGCAGACCAGGGCAGCGGGCTGGGGACCTGGGGCCTTTTGCTGGCTTGGGCTAATCCTGGTGCAGGTACAGGGACATTGCAGCCTCACAGCATCGTTCTCATCCATGAGTCCATCCTAGTGGAAGTGTGTCCCAATGGCAAACAGGTGCTTGTGGCATGAAGTGGGTGGGCTTGGGATGCACCAAAGCACTGTGTGGCTGAACTGTGTGCAAAGGAGACTTTTTCTGGGGCTTCGGGCACTTGGGAAAAGGACTGTGCCTGGAAGTGCTCATGTGAGGAGAGGGACCTTGCTCTCTCCTTCAGACTCTCCCACTCCACCCACACCTGTGTGTTGGAAGCCCTGCCATGAAGGCAGGCTGGTGATGCAGAAGTATACAGGGCATCCATGCTCCTCATAGCTCCCTGGGACCTTGCTGCAGAGAGAAGGTCCATGCTTTGTCTAGTTGCTGTCCTCAAAAGCAACCAGGTCATCTAGGTGAAACCTGACTCACTGAAGTTTTTTTATGGAGTGATTAAATCAACAGCGTGGAGATACGTGGAGAACCTTACTGGGGAAGAGACTGCGGTCTGGCATGATCCAAGTCGCTGTGATCCTGCACCACGGATGATGTGTGGTATTTACCCTGTGGCTCGATATAATGGATAGTGAGGTTGCAGGTGTGAGCTTCTGCTTGTCTTTATAAACCACTGGTAGATAGATAGCCGCGTTAGTGCCGTGCTGAGCTCATGTTCAATTATCCTCCTTTTCACCTTGAACTCAGCCTATCATTAACCACAGCTGCATGACTTCCACCTCAGAAATGGCTTGTGGCCAGCCTGCTTGGGGTGGAGATGGGGATAGGTTTGCAACACAGCACCTAGAGATGCACCTCAAGCAGGACAAAGTGTCCAAATGCAAGTTGGTGTCTGGTTTCAGAGATGTCACCCCTGACATTTTTCAGAGTAGGTGTTTAGATCTGTCCCCCTCGTTGTTTGTTTTAAAGCACTTTTATACTCCTTTTGCCGAAAGGTGCAGCAAATGCAGCTGTTGCTGGTTTTGGGGTGGGGGGGGGGGTTCAGGCTTTTTTCGGTTGTTGGTTTTTGGTTTTTTTTTCCCAAAAGCTCAGTTCTTCCTTGGGCCATAATATAAGGGGGCCAAGTATCCATCATTGTGTCATCTGTGAGGTTGCTCTGAAGACAGCTGCTTCTCTTTTACCCCACAACAATGGGAGCCACCAGTTGCTTGGCGCTTGGAAAATGGGACCATCCGTTTTCACTCCTGCTTTGTTTATATCAGTTGGAAAAGCAGCTTGAGGAGGGTAGGGCGGTAGCAAGCTTTTTGTGCAGCAGTGAGTTCGCTGCAACAGAAAATATGAACTGCTCAGTATGTGTACATCACTGCAACATGACCTTGAGTTACCTGAGTTGTTAAAGGAAGAGAGTAGTGCTGGCAGAAAGTTGAATTGCTCATTAATTGCTTTGTAATTTATGTAATTGGTTTTGTTGAGGCTGTGGAATATATGGGCTGTGGCCGATTATCTTCCCAGTGTTTTATCTGTACAAATGAAAATGACCTAAAACCATTTTTTTTTTAAATAAAACCAACATGTATGCTGCATGCTGTGAATGGATGTCAGACCTCTGAATATCTGCTTTCTTCAGCCTTTGCGCCTGGCTTGTGGCCTCAGACTGTTCATGGGCCACTGGGACCCTTTCTGAAGTGTAGCAGACATTTTTGGCATTCCTTCCTTGGCAGTGCACACTCCCAAAGTAGGGCTGCCCAAAAAGTCCTCTGTAAAAGGACCAGCTCTGGATAATTGCAGTGTGAAAGCATGCAGAAGTGAGTTAAACCGAGCAGTGTCAGGGGAGAGTGTAGTTACTCTGTTAGGAGTGGGCTTGGAAGGGAGATCAGGCTTTTTGCTCATGCACACCGTAGATAAACCCACACTCTCTTTTTTTTCTTTGCAGGTAGTGGCCGTGGAAGCAGCACATTGCTCCCACATACCATCATCAATGAATTTCCAGAGTATGGCACCGTTGAGCCAAGCAGACACACACTGAGGGCTTCATCACCGCACCAGGCAAAGCCCGTGACACACAGTCCAGAAAGACAGGAAGGTCACCACCGGCTGCCTGGCAGGCCCCTTCCTCAGTGTGCGGCTCCTGCAGACAATTTGAGACCTGATGCTGGGTCAGTGCAGGTGTGTGCCCCAGAAGAAGGTTTGCAACCTGTGGGTAACCTGCCAGAGATTATGAAAATCTCTCGACGGCTGGAAGCAGCAAAGGTGCAAGAGAGAGCAAATACTTGTCTTGATTCAGAGACGCAAATGGAAAAAAAGAGCTTTATTGGCAGACAAAATGTGCAGGCAGCCAAAGAACCAGTTCCAACAGGCCAAGAAAAACCCTTAGACATGCCTCTTCCATCTGAACGAACAGCTGAGGAGAAAATGCATTTGATGATTCCAGAGGAAGACCTGGCTGTAGTATGGACTGGAGAAAAGCAGTCTGAGTCCTTGCAAGTCATCAGGAATAAAGCTGAGGAGATCCACGCAGCGCAGGAGACAAGCTGTCATAGACCATCTGTGGCAAACCTGGAAGCAGCCAGCAGAGTGGAGGAGTGGGCGCATTTTGAGGAGTTTTCAGCATACAGTCAAGGCAAAATGCAAATGGATCCTGAGAGGAGGCTCTCTAAAGAGGCAGCTGTGAGCAAACATGTAGAATTTCAAGGGGTGGAGATTTTATGGCTGCAAAAAGCCGAGGACCAGAGAAGAAAGAAGCACTCGCTGCTGGAGACTGTGTCTGTGGAGAGGAAGGCATTCCCCAAGACGTCTAGCCACCTTGTGCCACCTATGGTCTCCCCAGGCTTGGTCTCCTCGCCAGACAGCACTTGGAGTGAGGTCTGTGAGGACCCAAGGCTGGGACACACTGCCCCTGGAGCTCCTTCTGCACTGCTCAGTGAAAATGGGGACAATGAAGTTTTTGTGAAGTACAAGAAGAACCATGGTGAGGAGGAGACAGCTGTACTAGCAAGAGGCCAGGGCAGGTGAGATGGCGCCTGGGGGGGGATTGCAGAGAGCAGGCGAAATTTCTATTGTCCCAGGCACGTGGCTTGTCCCTACCCCTTTAGGAGCTAATGACAAATGATGCATGTTTGTCTGCTGCCTGTGCCGTGGTGGCAATGATAGCAGTGCAGGCCTGGTGGTGGCTGGTGCATGAAGTTGGGACTGAACTCTGTCCACACCACCTTGCTGAAATCTGAAGTCTGTCTCAGGTTTGGAAACAGTATGTCTCTTGCTGTTTGCAGAGTAATGGCTGTGTGATGAGGCATCTGTAGTGGGTATAGTTGGGATCTGGACATGGCACGTGATTAAATATAGGCAGCATGCAGGACTGGCCTTGTGCACCTGGCTAGATTTTATGGTTTTGGGCAGAGTTCATGCAAGAATGGTGTGAACACCTCTGAGAGGTTGGCTAATAAAGATGTTTTACTGAGGGCCTTTTATGTTATAAGAGGGTAAATTCTGTTATGTGCTTTCTATATTATTTATCTGTGTTTATATAATTTTAGCTATATATATTGCAAAAATGTGCACAGCTTTTTGCAAGAGTAAATCGTATACGATTTCTTCCCTTATCTCCTGATGCATATTTGTGACAAAACAAAGGGTCCCACTGGCATGCTCTGAGCAAACTGTGCCTGCTCTGGCCTGGCAGGGTGCTTGCTGCTGAAACAGGGTCTCAGCAAGGGAAGTGCTCCTGCCTCTGCACTTCAGGATCCACAAAGTTTTGCTTTGGCTAGTGCATGGGATGGCTTGGGCAGGCAGCCCTGACATCTGGCACATGCTGTGAGAAGCCCCGCAGTGTTTGGTGCAGCAGAGAAGAAAACTCTCCGCAGGGGGATGCTACACCTTCCCCTGTGATTCTGCAAGCAGTCCAAGACTTCCCCCTTCAAATCTGGTTCTCCCAGCTCCAGGTTTTTAATTGCATTTGCTTTTCTTTGCGTTTTGGAGGTTGTCCTCCAGCCTTTTGCCAAAAGACCCCCAGCCCCAGGACTGCAGAGCCAGCAAACTGTCCTCCAGGGCAGAGGCCCCACCCGGGTGCACATCTCTGACCTGTGCAGTCTCTGGCATGGCAGTGGTGCTAATGGAGACCTTACACATTTGTGATTGCTCTTCTTTGCACATAAAGCAGCTGATGTTTTATCTGTTAGGCAATACTATGCTTTCCCCTTGCCCCCTTCCTTTACACAGAAGATTGTTTATTTTTTTTGTCCCCAGAGAAGGAGATGGGGCCAGTCATGAACAGAGGTGGTGCAAAGAGAAACTAGGCATTTTACCTGCAGTGTCCCCTCCTGCACAAAGCCACGTTGACCTTTCTGTTCACAAAGGTGGAAGGCAAGGAGGTTCACCCTTGCTCCCGAGCTGAAACGAGCTGTTTCTGATTAATTTCCAGGATGATGGAGGAGGGGGAAGCAGCCACAGGAGGATATGAAGATGTCCTTGGGCAGAGGCACTCCGATGTCTCCACTGATCTGTACAGCTCACAGTTTGAAAACATCCTTGACAATGCATCTTTATACTACAGTGCGGAGTCACTGGAGACGTTGTACTCGGAGCCCGATAGCTACTTCAGCTTTGAGATGCCACTCACTCCCATGATCCAGCAGCGCATGAAGGAGGGCGGCCAGTTTTTAGATCGGACATTAACCTCAGGGCAGCCAGATGTCCTGCAGCTTCCCCCTGACGAGGAGGTGAAGAGCTGTGTTGAAGGCATTGCCAATGGCTTAAGGGATGTAAGTGAAACACTCTTCAGAGGAGACGTCACGGAAGTCCCTTGTTTGGAAAGGTAAAAGCAGTGGGTGAGCTTTCTGCGTGTGTGCTGATTTTTCCCTGATGTCTGTTTACTTCAGTGGACTGTTGCAAAGTGTAGTTTTGCCTCTTTCAGCACTGCACATTTTCTACACAGAATAATTTGCAGTGTAGCAGAGTGAGCTGCAGGAGGGAAGTGAGCTGTCCAAACCTGCCAGTCATTAGAAAAGTGTAAATTTATCTATAAAGCTTTTATAGGTGATACTTGTGTCAATAAAAGGCTGGCCGGTATTGTCTCATCCCTGGGACCTGACCCTGGAGGAATTAGTTACCGGTTATAGGTGAACCTGTTCAGCTCCCCTTATATCTGAATTTGTTAGCAGCAGTTTCAGGAACAACAGCACCCTGTGCACATGGACGAGTTGTCCAAATGCAGTTTGTGATTTGGATGTTAAAGGTATGTCTTTGGGCATAGCTTTTCCTCTTTTGAGGTTGGTGGGAGTTTTGCAGATTGCTTCATCTGGGACAAGGTTTTGTTCCACCACGTTCGCAGGATTAGAGACTGTTAGCTGCTTCTTTAGTTTGTGCACTAGTTACTGATTGAGAGAGCAGGGAGCATTGCAAAAATGTTAATAATTTCTGTTTAGGTACAGGGAGAGGTAAAAAGACCTATTGAGAGAATATTTTTTTGCTTCCCATGTGAGAAGGAAAAACTAGGCTAAGTGGTCAGAAAATACTGTGTTATTGTAGAAACTCACTCTGTGAGCCCACTTTCCTCATCATGTGTTGTTAAAGAGGATGGGGAGAGTGAAAGGCAGCAACAGGCAAAGTGAGGGGGGTTGAGCCAAAAGCAGTCATCTGCAGAGAGGTGAGGGACATTGTTGAGTGACAAAGATGTCTTGGGTCTCCATCTTCCAGGGACAGGACATTATCTTAGAGTCCTTAGACTATTTCTTTAGATAGTACTAGTTAGTCTGAGCTTTCCTGGGAGTCAGTGGTGGGAGGTCTTTTTATCAGTTTTATTCCTTTTGTGCTAGTGTGAAAAAAGTCCTTTGAGCAGAAGTAGTTTTGCTAACTTTATGGATTAAGGTGCAGTTTGCCCTTAAAAGAACAGGAGGAAGGATTTAGCTGTTTAAAGTTTTTTCTGTCAATCCTTCTGAAAAAAAAGGTGTTTAAATCTTGTACAGCCCTGAGCTGCTGGTGCCAATAGGCAGCAAGTGACTGCTAATCTGCTGCAGCCAGTACAGAGCTAGAAACTGAGGTCAGTCCTGACACTTGCATCTCCTTACTTGTACCAGAGATTGCCATAAGACTGGGCAGTGGAGGGCAAGCAGCACATACGGACCCTGATTCTGTTACCCTGTAGTTGCAGCATCTAGTATCTAAGAAGTACTGTCAAGTGAGGCCCACTTTGGCTCATCAAGACAGGAGTTACCACGAAGACAAGGTGTGCTTAGATAATGGTTAGAGATGTATTAGGTGCCTTCCTAGTCTGGATTTCATTAGAAATTAAGTTAAGTTTAGTTTAAATTTGTAGCCATAGTGATAAACCCACAGAGGATTCTTGAATTCTTCTTTTTTTCTCCCTTAATAAAAAAAGAAGAAAGAAGTGTCCCCAACAGCTGGTTTGTTAGAAGTTCTGCTGTTGTAGTCTGCAGAGCTCTGTTAGGAATGAGCCCTGAGGGCTTGCTCTGTTAAGGTAAGTGCTGATAAAAGAGTGTAGCTACAGCAGTAGTCAGCCACAGATGTGCCCAAAAGGGTAATCCTCCGGACAATAACCTTATTAACTACCTGCCCAACATGATATTCTAATACTTGCATAAGGGTACAGGTGACTGACTGATTGTCTGTGGAGTATTGTTGGAGCCAGTGTTGAAACACGGCGTTAGAGTGTGTGGGTGAGGAGTACTCTGTGCATGCTGAGGGCTGCATGGGGTTTATTTCCAGGGGAGTCAAGAGGGTGGGTGTGTTGCTGTGATGTTCAGGTAAACCAGAAATAGCTGCCTGAGCCGTGGGTATGATTTCTAAGAGTTTGCATGTGTGGTTGTGTTGCCAGAACCAATTCCGGACTTGTTTTTCAAACTGAAAGTCCACGGGTATAATAGTCCTTGTTTCCTACGGTGGTGTGAACCCGTGGTTGCGCTGGGGCTGTAGTTTCCCAGGCGTAGTGCCTGCCTGGTCCAGCTCTCCCAGAGAATGAGGTGGGGAAGGCAAGCCCACCGCCCTGCCAGATGCCGGCAGTGGCCCCTGGCCCTGCATCCCGCAGCCAGCGGCAGGAGTTTGCGGGCAGCATCTTGCCTGCCATGTATTGCAGAGCCCCCGGAAGTCTCTGTGCTCTCTGTGGCGCTGCTGGCTCTGCCCACCCTCTGGGGTGAAGTCACTGGAGGATGGGTGCAGGCAGGAGGGCGGCTGGAGGACCCCATCAGTTGGGATGGAGGCAGGTATGGGGCCTCAGTATGTGAACGGGGGCAAGTGCAAAGCGAAGCGGAGGAATTTGGGATGCGGGGGGCGTGGGAGCAAAGCAATGCAACGTTGCAGTGTGGCCCAACGAGAGGCATAACCTCCCTTTTCCAGAAACGGCCCTGCCAACTCGAGCGAACAAAAAACGAACCCAAAATCTCAGCAGCTCCCTGTGCCGTGGTATTTTGGTGACGTGTGGGAAGGTGCATGGGGAGAAAGTATGCTTCCAAGTACCAGCGCCAATTTATGAGGGAACAAAGTGTGAAATACTGGTAGTTCTTCATGGTCTAGTACAGCAGGGGAAGGCGGATGTGAGAGCAAAGAGTTAATGGTTTACACCTGGAAATTGAAGTGTTCCAGTTTGGAAAGGAGGAGCAGGTGCTCTCCGTGGACATAGCCTTCTGATAGCAGGTAGCTGAGCACCACGGCACCTTTTGCATCTCTCTGGAGGGATCTTGAGCGTTACTGACACGTGGACCCTAGATGGCGTGAGGTTTTAATGCTTAACGGCAAGGAAACCTAGTCTTGCAGTGAATAAGCGGGAGAGTAACATCCTTCCCCGCTCTTAGGAAATCGCTGGCTTTGGGAGGGGTCAGCTGTGGTATGTGTAGGCCAGTCACATGCCTTCAGAACTGAAAAAAAAAGGAAGAAAAAAAAATGATTAGAGGCATTCAGGCTGCACGTTCCTATGGGCTCCTGGGTGTCTGGATGTCTTGTCCCTGCTGTCCACCCTATCAGCTGCTGGCCGTGGTTCAACGCAGTAAGTCCTGGCGAAAGCCATGCAAGGTGCCCGCTCTGACAGCCACCCGCCGTGCTTCCTCAGGGCAGGGGGGCATCAACTGGCCCCTGCTTCTTCCTGCAGGCCAGGTGGGCGTGCTTTTGCAAGTAGTCCTTCCCTAGCACAGCTTAGGTGCCCTGTGTGTCTGACCAGTGGAGAAGGGGTGCTTGGGGGGAAGGGTGTGCAGTTTGCCTTCCTTTGGCAGTGGTTCCAGCTCTTGGTGTCTTTTGGGGGGTTTATTCTCTTTCCTAGGTATGTAATGATCATCCCTATGGGGGAAAAACAAATTTCTGCAGCTGAAGTAGCCTTAAGTTTCCCCAGGTGGGGGTGGGAGAACTGGGGGAGGAGGAGGGGGAGCATGTGAGGTTTCAGAGCTGAGGGACAGCCTGTCTGTGTATCAGGGCATCCATGGGGTCTCAGTGAAACATGCTGAGCCACAGGTTGCTGGCGTAACGAAGCTTTGCAGCGGCAATAAAGATCCCGCATTTGAGCTGCGTTTGGTCCGCTTGCCTCTGTGTTATCCTTGCAGAGGCGTGCAGTCCCCACCATCACACCCATGCCCCGGGTACTGCACTCCTCCCTTCTCCTGATAGGGGTTTGTGTTGAGATGGAGTGAGTCTCGCCTTGGTATATGGGAGTTTAGTCTTACTCACAAAGGCAATAAGGACGACTGCAAGGTGCTACTCAGGCATTCAGCCTGAGTTTGCACCTCCTGAACGGGGTGTAACCTTTTACACCAAATAAGAGTGGGAGGAAAAGGACATATTTCCAAAGCAGTAAGAGATACCCGAGGGAAAAGTGAGTTCTCTTTGCTATGTATACAGACAGAGCATCACTGTATCTAAAAATAAAGTAGGAAGTTCTGTCAGTGATAATCCTCCCCTTTTTTTTATACTTTCAGACTTTAAAGACAGAATTTCTTCTAATCTTTCTTTTTTCTGCATTCTTTATAGCAGATTTCCCATTGCCTATTCCCTTGTATTCTACAGACAGAAGAAGAAATCTAAAAAAAAACCCCACAACCAAACAAACCAAAAAACTTCTGGCATTTGTTTTCCCAAGTTATCTTGGAAGGTGTGGTCTCTGTTGGTGGGACATAGCCCAAGATTTTTCTAAATGCAGAGAGAAAAGAAAAAATAATCTTAAAAAATGCTAAAAATTTGCCACCTGCCATCATTTTCAAAGAATTGTGGTGCTCAGCAAATCCTACAAGTCCTGTTATTTTTTTTTTCCTCTAGAGATGCAAACAAAAATTTAGTCACATATGTATTCTTTTGTAATTCAAGGAGGGAAGAAAACAAGCACCCTAAAGCAAACTCCTAGTTCTCAGAATAAATGCACAAGAACATAGACTGCAGTTTGCAGTGGCTGCCAGGTTACTGTTAATGTTTTGGGCCTCTCATAGTGGTTCCCATCGTTGTTTTCTTTCTTCTGCGTATGGGTCATTTGCAGCAGTTTCTTAGTTGGCACTCTGCTTATTTCTTCTTTGAAACAATAAATGTTGTTGACAGATAAACCCAGTTTTGATCCCTTTCTCCAAGTTGATTCTCTAAGACTCCTTCCAGTTTATCAGTATCTGTATGCCAGTTATACTTCTGGTTTAAGTTCGCACTCTGTAATTATTTATTGTCCAGGGTAGCTTGTATGTAGATATGAGACTCAGTACTTATATTTCTAACACATAACCTTTATTCATTCCTTTTATTAGTCTGTCCAACAGCAGTCTGGCAGAACTTTTTTCCCCTTTGAATCCCCTTAATTCAACTTTGTGACTTGGATGAATTTTTTTGTTTAGTGTG